AAAATAGAGAAAATTAAGGTTCCCTACTAATATATAGAGAAAATTAAGGTTTTGTCTGTGAAATTAAAACAAAATCCAGATTTTCCTATGAAAATACAGAAAATTCAAGTTTTCCTACGAAAATATAGAAAATTTGTGAAAAATAGAAAAATGCAGGCTTTCCATTTAAAAAAAAAATGGAGTATTTCCCAGTAAATACAGAACTAAGCCCCAAACCCTAAAAAATAAAACCCAAAAAAAGAAAAAAAAGAATTCCCAAAAAAAATGCACCTCCCCTGAATAATTCGAATAGGGCTTTGGATTATACTGTACTTTCTTATAATAAGGACCCCCAGAAATAGTATTGGTAATTATTATAAAAGCCTCTACACGACGCACTAGTCCCCCAATGTCTTTGGTGACCTGAAGCCCTCACCTTCCAAACCCGAAACCCAAAATCTTACACCCGATCCTGTCAGGGTTTAGGCTTTAGGGTTAGGGTTTAGGCTTTAGGGTTCGGGGTTTAGGGTTTAAGGGTTCAGGGTTTAGGGTTTAGGGTTCAGGGTTTAGGGTTCAGGGTTTAGGGCGCAGGATTCCGGGTGTGAAATCGACACAACCTCAGACCCTGACCGCTTAATGTAGAGGCCTTACCAACCAGAATAGGGTTTTGGGTCCCATTATACTATAACCATATTAAGGACCCCCGCAAACTAGTATTGGTAATTATTTCGGCCCCTATATTAGCTCTCGACCCCTAAACACTAGACCTCGTGACTCAGCACCAACTCACTGAGTGCGTAAGCCTTGAGCCCCTAAGCCCTAAATCCTGAACCCTGAGCCCTAAACCCCAAACCCTAAACCCTATTTCCTAAATCCTAAACCCTAAGCCCTAAACCCTAAACTCTAATCCCTAAACCCTAAACCCTAAACCCTAAACCGAAACCCTAATCCCTACATCCTAAACCCTAAACCCTGAACCTTTCAACCATAACTCTGAAGTCATAAACCCCTTGATCCTTGGCAAGACGTCCTGACATCCTATCCAAACCCTAGAGCCCTAAACCCTAAACCCGGAACCCGAGAGCCCTAAACCCTAAACCCCTAAACCCGGAACCCTGGAGCCCTAAACCCCTAAACCATAAACCCCTATCCAAACCGCTTCTTGGCACAGGTTTCGAAGCCCCGTAAAGAATACAAGCCCTTAGGAAGCTCTCATCAGACTGTCTGCTTTGGGGTTTAGGGTTTTAGAGTATGAAAACACAATACGAACCGTTAGAAGACCCTTATGAAACCCTTCTCAGACCCTTCTGAAGCACTTATCCCTAAACCTTAATCCCTAATCCCTAATCCCTACACCCTAAACCCTAAACCCTAAACAAGGCTTGTTAGACTCGACATCCCATGCCACCTCGCCGGTGAGCGGATCGGAGACTCGAAAGCCTCGGCCGTGCCCCCGTAGAGGCTTCAGTCGTCGGGATTGGGTGGTAGGGTTTAGGGTTTAGGGTTTAGGGTTTAGGGTTTAGGGTTTAGGGTTTAGGGTTTAGGGTTTAGGGTTTAGGGGGGCTCTGAGCTAATGGCTCTTAGGTTCTTTTTGTGCGGTCTCGTATGGCTTTCGAGCTTCAGGGTTTAGGGTTTAGGGTTTAGGGTTCCCTAAACCCTAAACCCTAAACCCTAAACCAGGGTTTAGGGTTTAGGGTTTAGGGCTTCAAGACTCAGAAGTCTCCACTTCTGGGCCCCTGCATACAGCCCTGCCTCCAAACCTCCGGAGCGCGACCGGCGCTGTCGCGACAGCACGTAACGTAGAAAGACGTCAGAGCCATGGTAGGTTCTAGGGCTTACGGGTAAAGCAAACCGGGCCAAGGATGTAGCAGCGCTGCAGATGCAGAGATGCAGATGCAGACGTGTGTCTAGAGTCTAGATGCATGTACGTATGCATGTGTGTAGTACACATGTAGGGTTTACAGTCCCTAAACCCTAAACCCTAAACTTTAAACCCTAAACCCTAAACCCGCACCTGGGGGGGGGGGGGCTCCTGCTTGCATCTCAGGCACAGGTGGACCGGCTCAGCAGGTCCTCCAGAAAGCCCACGTAGTCCTTGGCAAACCGAAAATCTTCGAGGCTTCGGTGTGGACCGTGGACCGGAAACCGCAAAAGCTGAATAATTCAAGAACGATCCCCTACACCCATCATGCTTGGAAAGGTCCTAAACTCTTCAACTCCCTTGCAACTGAAACCATAAAGGTGGATGTGTGTGTTTTAAGTTTCTGGTGTTTTGAGGATTTGGGTTTGGGATGAAGTATGCCAAGCTTAGCATCATGACTCTTTCCATCACCATGAACGTCGTCATCATCACAGCACCATCGCCGTCGTCATCACAAGTACCACAAGCGTCATCCCTAATGACCGTTCACGAGAATGGTTGCGACCTTAGTCAGGTTCGAAGTAGCGGAGATGCCGCAGCTACAATATCAAAACGTCATGGTTGCAGTCGGAATCAGAAACTGGCGCCCCATGTAACTTGCTGGGCTGTGGCCTTGTGAACTCAATTCCTCTGAAGTTCCACCTTCGGCTGGTGACTGCAAACCCCACAGACCGCAAAAACCAACATACTTAAGGAATATATTCCTTAGATCAGATCCTTTATGGGGTCTGGTAGATGGGCAAAATAGACCAAGCTCAATGCTCCTGAGTTAGGGGTTCGGGTTTAGGGATTAGGGTTTAGCGATTGCACGAGTACTGTGTTTTCGGCTCACCGCTGAAATTTCTTTTGTAGGCGCTTCTTGACAAACCGACATTTGGTTCAGACAATACTGCATGTACTTGTTGAACCTTGTCGTGGCCAAGGGACATCTGCAGCGTTGGAATCGCACCATGACTGAGCAATACGAACCTGTGCCAACGAGAAGATGGTAGTTCCCAGGCCCTACAACCCTAGGAACCAAAAGGTTCTTACAGGGTACACATGAGGGATTTTGCGAGAATATGTACAGGTCCTCAGGAACATAGATGGGTTTTATAACTCTACTTACAACCTACTTACTAAGTGCCCTGGGCCTCCAAGTAAACCCTAAACCACCCAAAACCCCCTAAGCCCTAAACCCTGAACCCAAAACCCGAGTCTATTGTAGAAGGCCCCCGAAGTTGGGATAGTCGCCCAAACCCTTCAACCCCAAAAACAGTCTACTGGCCCCAAGTCTACAGAAGCCCCCTACAGTCCTGTCCTTAGGCAGGAACCCCAACACCCTCGACCTGGGTTTAGGGTTTAGGGTTTAGGGTTTAGGGTGAACCCTCAATCCCAACCCAAACCCAAAGCCCTAAGCCCTTACTTCCCCAATAAGCCAAGGAAATAAAAGGTCACACTTTCAGACTACTACTAAATTCTAGGAACCCAAAAAGTTTAAAAGGCTGGGCATTGGGGAACTGAGAAACCTAAACCCTAAACCCGAAACCCCTAAACCTAAACCCCTAAACCCCTAAACCCATAAACCCCTAAACCCCTAAACCCTAAACCCCTAAACCCCTAAACCCCTAAACCCCTAAACCCCTACAGCCTAAACCCTTAAACCCCTAAACCCTTAACCCCTAAACCCCTAAACCCCTAAACCCAAAAACCCCTAAACCCCTAAACCCCTGAACCCTAAACCCTAAGACCCTATAGATCCCTTTAAAGGAACCCTTATAGATCCCTTTAAAGGAACCCGTACATCCCGGAACAGAGAAACCCAAAATCAGTGCAATCTCGTGGCCAGGCCCTGGAAAAACTTTGCCAGGTCCAGCCGATCGCTGCCCATCGCAGCCTGATGTTTGGGGTTTAGGGCTTAGGGATTTAGGGTTTTAGGGTTCTAGGGTTTAGGGGTTTAGGGTTTAGGGCTTTAGGGTTTTAGGGTTTTAGGGTTTTAGGGTTTAGGGTTTAGGGTTTAGGGGTTTAGGGTTTAGGTCCCATAGTGGACTGATGCGGTATTCATGTACAATATTCATATGCTGTTCACATTACACACATATTACTTTCACGTTGTACTCATGTTATGTTCATGTCATATGCACGATGTAATCATACTATTTCACAGATTCACGCCATGTTCATGCTATATTGGCTATAGGTGCATTTCAGATTCGCACAGTGCTCGGATTAATATCATATTCCTCCTTGTTTCATAGTTTTCACATTGTATACCCAAACTGTATTCACATCATAGTTACATTGCATGCATAGGACAACCACATTCTGTTCATATTTTCTTCATAATATGTTCATTTCACAATCACATATTAGGTTCATATCTCACATTCATGTAATTTTCGTATTAAATCAGTGGTATATTGGTTTAGGGTTATTCTCTTTGTCTGTTTTTGTGGGGTTTAGGCGCAGGGTTCTACAATTTGGAGCCACTTGTTGAGGGTTGGGTGCTTCACCCTAAACCCTAAACCCTAAACCGAAGGTTTTACTGCGTTTGGGGGTACAGTGAGTCCAGCTTAAGACATGGAGGGCCCTGCAAAGGAGATCCTTCGGTCTCTAGGGAGGGGTTTAGGGTTTAGGGTTTAGGGCCTGACTAATTAGAACAGGGTGTTGGGGCCCATTATTTATGCTATAAGTATAATTAAGAACCCCCAAAACAGTATTGGTAAGTATTTGGGCACCTACATTAAGACACGGTGCATGAAGGTGATGAAGGCCCTAAACCCTAAAAGCTTGGAGCCCAAAAGACCCCATCATGTCGAGCCAGCTTTTCGGGTTTACGGATTAAGCTCAGCAGCATCATCAAGGGTTTAGGGTTTAGGGTTGAGGCTAAGAGCAACATGAACCTGGGCTAACAGCAGGGCCGATTCCGGCCACAGCGACAAAAATGCTGGGAATCATCATCGCCGACACAAGGAGATGAGTAACGAGTATGGTGACGATCATGATCTTAACGAACACGGTTGAAACATCACTACTCCGTCACATTATGATGATGAGAACAACATTGAATATTGAGGACAAGAAGATGAAGACCAGTAAAGATATGGCTGCTACGAAACATGAGGCAAGCGCGTAAAAACAAGAAACAGGAGCCAGGCCCAGACGGCAATAGACCCTGAACACGAAATTCTGAAGCCCAAAGCCCCAAACTCGGAAACCCTGAACCCTGCATTTGGAAACTCTGACCCCCCCCCCCCCCCCTGCCGGCCTCCTGCCAGCTATTGGCGCAGAGGGTGGCCTCCGTCTCCTCTCGGGAGTTGCCAGGCTAAAGTAGAGTTGGCTTAGCGCTTCGGGGATGAGGCCTTGGATTTGGGGTTTAGGGTTTAGGGTTTAGGATTTGGGGGTGTGAGGGATTTAGAATTTAGAGACGCGGGGGTTTTGGGGCTGCCTGTGAGAAAACCTTGCTTTCCCGTCGAGAAGTCGCGTCCGTGGGTCAGCGTTTGGGGTGCAGGGCCCGTGATTTTAGGGTTGACGGCCTAACCCTGAACCCTAAACCCCCAACCTGAAACCATGCACCCTAAACCCAAACCCGAAAAAACAGCCACAGGATCGCCCCACCCACAATCTGCCACGCACCTGGGACAATCCAGGCAGGTAGATCCGCAGGAAGCGGAGCACCAGAGCATCATAGGCTTCCTTCAGTATCGTTGAGTCCTCCTCTTTCCTCGGCGCACAAAACACTCAACCCTGAACCCGATGAAGGGTTGTAGAAGGTTTTATACGGCTTTCGGGTTTTCGGACCTGGGCCAAATTTGGGCCCCTACTTGAAGTCGAAACCCTCAAACCCTAAACCCTAAACCCCAAAACCGTGAACCCAAAACCGCTTAGAACCCTCCCAGGATCCGTGAAGAGACCCGTTTAAGGAAGCCCCCGAAAACCTGCGAAACATGAGAGGGTTTAGGGTTTAGGGTGTAGGGTTTAGGGTGTTCCTTTGTGGTGCAAGACTTCGCCTCCCCGCAGTCCTCCTGCCCACTGCGGGCGTACGCCGCTCAGAGAACGGAAAGCTCACAGAATTCTTCAACATCATTGCATGGAGGTAGTACTGACACGGTTGGCTCTCTGACTTAGAGGTGGGGGGGCTTAGGGTTTAGGGTTCAGGGTTTAGGGTTTAGGGTGTATGGAATGGGTAGGTTTACAAGTCCTCAATCGGGGTTCACTGCCGCTCCAACAACCCTGAACCCTCAAACCTCAAACCACTGAAGCCGGAACCTCTAAACCGACAAACCCGATGTGCAGCTGACAGCCCCGAGCCCGACATCCCTTCGTGGAGCGCGTGTCTACAGACCGAGCGGCTTGAACAAGTCCCAGAATTTCACCACCAATTCTTGCACCTGCGGCAGGGTAGTCATGAGACGGTGATGCTGACAGTGGCGGCTTTCGTGCAGACAGACAGGATGACGAGTTTCGTCGCGATTAGGATGAAGAGGGCATTCACGATAATGATGCTGATGATGGTGATGATGATGATGATGATGATGATGATGATGAACATGACGACGGTTTGAGGGTCATAATGGGGATGCCGATGGTACATGTGAAGGTTTCGACGATAAGAAGAAAGAGGAGCAGGAGTATGATGACACCGAGGGTGACAATGACTGTAATCTTGATGGCGGTGGCTCTGCCTGTGGTGAGGACGATGATGCTGCTGATGCTGGCGATGATACTGATGATTGGGGTGGCCACTATGCACATGTTGGTGGTGCCGGCGACTGTAGTCAGATTCGTACAAATAGCAATCAGGATAAGCAGATATGTACAGTACATGCACACTTCAACACGCGAGCAATACACCATCATCCTGTCACTACCAGAATGTTAGGCAGCAGCAGTGGTATGCAAGACCATCATCATCATCATCGTCCTCATAGCCATGGGATTGTGTGTACGTGTATATATATATATATCTACATATGTATACACATAAGTACATACATACACACATACATACATACATACATACATACATACATACATACATACATACGTACATACATACCCCATTACATACTATGTTGTTATATCTATACTCATTAGAATTAGAACCAACCCTAAACCCTAAAACCCTAAACCCTAAAACTCTAAACCCTAAACCCTAAACCCTAAACCTTAAACCCTAAACCCCTAAACTAAACCCCTAAAACCCAAAACCCCCAGAAAGCGATGCCTTCTGGTGGCGCCACACAGAGGAAGACTCGCCCTCGTCGGCCTGACTGTCTAGTGCTTAGTAGGGAATGGGGGAATGGATCCCTATGATAGTCCCTTCAGGTCCCTTATAGTGGCCCCTATAACCCTAAACCCTAAACCCTAAAACCTAAACCCTAAACCCTAGACCCTAAACCCTAAACCCTAAACCCTAAACCCTAAATCCAAAACATTCCCCCATCCCCGACTAAGCACCAGACAGCGAAGGCTCTGAGAGGTTCCGTGGCCTTCTGGGGCCAGGGCCCCGTCTCTGGGGCTTGGGGGTTTTAGGGTTTTAGGTTTTCGGGTTTAGGGTTTAGGGTTTAGGGTTTAGGGATTGGGGTTTTGGGGTTTAGGGT